TTTCCCTTTGTTAAACACATTATCACAGGGGCGCTACAACCGTCACTGATGAGCTTGGCCTTGGCCAGCGGCAGGTCCATCTTGGATTCAGCTGGCATTGGCTGTATCGGACATAGGCGAAACTTCTAGCAGCTCTCACAGAAGCCACCCGTGTAACCTTCCCTCCCTGCTACCAAAACCCGGCCACGCAAACCAATTACACTCTATTACAGATCAGCTGCACTTGAATGGCTGAACACAGTCACACAATTAAGTTGAGAAGTGTTAAGGCAACAGGTTAAAATACAGAAATCACTTAAAGCACACTTGGATGAGATTGTGATTAGCATTTCCGAACACTTCCTTGAGGCATTTCTGAGGTCATTCTCCCTGCCTTTCCTGCCTGTTGTGCTTTTGTTTGCAAGAAGGAGTGGCCTATAAACACACAAACTATATTTCTTTCCAATGAAACTAAACCTAAAATGCATTTCTGGAGCACATACAGTGTATTCCAGTTGTAAACGGATATTTGGTCTGTGAGACCAGACCAGAGTTAGTTCAAAATAGAGAGGAAAAAAAGAATAAATAACCCAGCCCTGAAATGGATACAGTTTGGATGTGAAGCCCCTGCCCACCAACGCTTCACTGTACAAAACAATGTCCTGCAGCAATGTAGGAGAAGTCTAAAAGACATTGCTGAAAAAGCTCTGAAGTGTTAGTGGCTACTTTTTTGAGTGAGATTCCAGAAGACTGAAAAAAGGCACTTACAGTGTTTATCTTTTTTTTTTTTTATTGTTGTTCTTCTTAAGATGGGTGTAAGATCATGGATTCTAGTCAGCGCTTCCATTATTGAGTTGATGGATGAGAACGTTTGTTTATTAAATATACTGGCACTGCAGAATGGGGAAGGATTCTAGATCCTTTTGAGGGCAAGAATAAAAGTCAAGATTGTCTGGATGTGTAGGAGAAAGTATGAAAATAAGATGCGGTTCATTCTTGGTGTGTGTAGAGTGGTGTATGCAGGGAGAGACAATAATAAACTGGTAAAAATCCATGGTGCAAGAGGAGCGGGAAGGAGGTAGCTGTAGCTGTACAGTAAATGGGATGCTGGAATCCATTGCTTCAGAAGGTGCCAGCCAGCATGACTGGGAGTTGTCAGGAGGACTTTGAGCAAACATCTGCCAAGGATATAGATATAGATATTCAGTCTGCTTCAAAGCATGTGGATGGACTGGGTGATGCTTTGAGGTTGATTTGATTCCAATCCCATTTTTAAGTGGTTTAATAATAAAAAAAAAAATCTTACCTTTTTATGTCACTAGGTTGTATTTTCTGGGAAAAAGTGTGATAGAAAAAGATGGAATTACAAAATCGGTTAGAGAAAGTAAAATGAAGACACTGCAGTGCTGTTAGAGCATTGAGTTTTCAGGATCTTGTTATAAATGTAGGCCTAGTGATTGATTAACTGCAGTCAGTTACTCCAGAATATCTGTTCCTCTTTGTCTTGAAAATGCTGACGTTCAGTAAACTTGGGCTAAAAAGGTGGGAACTGAGCTATAACTTTATTCATATGTGAAACTTGTAAGGAGACTAAGAGATAGATAGATGGATAGATAGATAAAAAGAACTTGTTTAACAGCTTGGTTAACCCTGATCCATACTAACAATGGATAATTAAGTTTATAAAGAAGTGTAATAAAAGACGCAGTTTATCCTGTGTAAAGCATTGCTAGAAATTAGATAAAGCCAGTGTTGCTTTAGAGCTTGAACTTACCAGGCCTTATATTTTCACTCGTTCACTGGAAGTGTTTTGCGTGGTGAAAAATACTGCATTGAGGAGTTGTCACATCCAGAAAAGCTTTCCACTCTGCAGGGTTGGCCATGTATCTTTTATCTCCACTGTAATATAAAAATGGCATCTCAAGATTTTGCATTATAGGGAATGAGGTTACTGTTTCTTTATCTTTAAAATATCTCAGCAGATTAAATATCTTTTCTTACATCTTGTGCTAGAATTTTTTCAGTTCAGAAATGAGTTGCTTTTCCTTCCCAATGTTTCTATAAATCATAGATGCTGAGGAGGTATTCTAGTTACAAAAGGAGAAGTAATTCTTCTGATGTACAATCATGCAGCATGTGTCCTTAAGCAGCAGTGTGAAAAATGACTAGCATCTGTATTAATCTTATGTTTTTTCCCCAAATTCACATGCCCATGTCTGTCTTTATGCATCTGTAATATCACTTCGTATGTTCGCATGGAAAGACTAGGATTAGAGGTATATAAGAATACTATGTCTCAGATTATGCTTTGCTTATTGGGTTTTACATAACTGTGTGAAAACTTTGTAATTACTTTGAGCCACTAATATAAAGCTTTTACCTTGAAAACAAATAAGGGCTGGTTTTAAATGTCTCTCTCTACAAGCTGTATTGGATGTGCTCACAAAAATGCACATTTCTTGAGTTGAGATGGGTGGGAGCTACTTGGAGAGGGGATAACGTTATAATAAATTTTACAAATTCAGTTTCCCACTGGCATGCACCTGATAACGGTCTAATATGAGTCTAGTATTTGGGTTAGGTGAGAAGAACAAAAACCAGCCTTTTGGCCAAAGGCAAGTTTCAGTTTAACCCCATGCACAATGCTCCCTGTTGTTCAGTGTTACCAACGCCAAGTCAGTTTCGTTGCTATAGAAGATACCTGGTTGCTCATTTGTTCTCTCTCCTTCCCTCCTCCTGTCCCTTTGCCGCCCCTGCCCCTTTGTTTTCTTTTTTTTTTCCAAGAATCTTTTAGTAAATATACTAATTTTGTATACATTTATTCTCTTTCAAACATTGTTATCTTTGAGTAATTTTGTGATTACATCTAGCATCGTATATTTTGTTACATCTTGTTTCAGCATAAAATAAATGTAAAAGCGGTATCTCTAGGGTAGACGTAGAAATGATAACAAGTATGTTAATTTGGCGACATAAAGTTTTGGCATTTTTTTTCCTTATAGTCCTTTAACACTTTGCACATGATGTACCACGAGGCCACAGCTTGCCATGTGACTGGAGACCTAGTAGAACTTCTGTCTATCTTCCTTTCGGTTCTAAAGTCAACACGTCCGTATCTTCAAAGAAAAGGTTTGACTGTAACTCTTCAAAGGACAATGCCTGTTGTCTGTTAATTAATTTTCATGACCCAAAACTTAATATTTAATCTTGCTTATTATCTGTGTTTAAAAATTTCCCATACAGTAGGAGATAAGATTATTAAATTGTTACTTATTGAATTATTTATTGACACAGTATGAAACTAGATTAAGTGAATTTAATAGCAGTAGACCAGTGAGATTTAACAGATTTCTAGGTTGATTAAAATCATGCTAGAGGAAGAAGAGATTCTTCAGCAGTAGAATTCTGTGCTTTATTTCATGAGCTTTTTGAGAAATTAACTAAAGAGATTTCAATGGTTTTACATTTGCAGATGTGAAGCAAGCTCTCATTCAGTGGCAGGAGCGAATTGAATTTGCTCATAAGCTCTTAACTCTGCTGAATTCCTATAGTCCTCCAGAACTTAGGAACGCTTGTATTGGTAAGTTGTAGTAGCGTGACTGCAGTCTGGAAAGACCTGTTCTACGCAGTTACCTGCTGTGGAATTTGAATTCCATGTTTGCAGGTGCAGAGGCTCCCTAGATACTCTGTAGATTTGGATTGTTTAATTACTACTGTCAATAGATCAATATTGCCGTTGTTCCTATTCTAAATAATTCTGCCTTTGTCAGGTTAGAATTGATATTCCTGCTTCCCCAGGCACGCAGACTGGGTGCGCAGAAAGTCAGCCTTCGTTTCGAGAGACCGGTTTGCTACCAATAAGGGGCACAATTAAGGCGTAACTCCTGAATTCAGGTGTCAGTGAGTTTAGAATCAAATCCCAAGTCTTACATTGAAATTCAAATATTAACTGATGCTCCACTCAGAATGGTGCATGGTCACCAAGTTAGTCTGAATAACAACTCTGAGTGTTTGTTTTTGTTATCCATTGTAGCAGAAGGTACAATAATGAAAGTGAAGCTTAAATAGCTTGTAGAATGGAATGGATTTGCTTTTTTAAATTGTAGACGTAGACATTATATATAAGTGTCTCTTTTGCATTAGAAGACCTATTTCAAAAAGGTCTAGGTTTTTTCTAGCTTAGGCTTTTTAAATATTATTTAATGGATATAATCTGCATTTTTATGCATGCTAATGAAGGCCTAAAACTGTGTCCAAATTACCTTTTTTTGTGTGATTTGTGTGCATTTTCCCCTTCCTTTGAGTGCCTTTCTTTGTCCTCCTGACTGCTGCTGGGTGGCATTTTCCAGGCATCAAACCTGCTATGTTTAAGAAGGCAGAAAGAGGGTAATTTTATTGAGCTTCTACTTTCCACAAGCTGGCACCACTCTCACTGGTGGTTGATCTACCACTGAGTGGGTTTCTGCCCACGGCAGAGGTGAAGGGAATCTTGACAGATTCAGGGGTGTTCACTTTAGGTGCTGTTCACAGTAGAGCCTGCCTGCACAGTGCACGCGAGTGCAGCAAAAGGGACATGAAAAAGGGTTTGCAAATGCATGAGCCTTAAGTTAAACTGTTTGCTGTTAAGAAATAACAATGTGTAATAGCAAAAACAACTTTTTGTTTGTAGATGTCCTCAAGGAGCTTGTACTTTTAAGTCCTCATGATTTCCTACATACTCTGGTTCCATTTCTACAGCACAATCATTGTACATACCACCACAGTAATATCCCAAGTAGGTATTTCAGTGATTGTATTTTGAAGTTCTCTTACTCTATTATCATGTTCCTTGCTGATGTCAAATATTGACCTTTTTAATATATCCCTATTCTATCCTAACTTATACTACAGTGTCTCTTGGACCTTATTTTCCATGTCGTGAAAATTTGAAATTAATAGGGGGAAAAAGCAATATTCGTCCTCCACGTCCTGAACTTAACATGTGCCTCTTGCCTACAATGGTGGAAGCCAGCAAGGTATGTAAATGCATGGTCTTACAAATAGTCATTTCTCTGTTGTCTTCCCTTTGTACAAAAAGATTGTAAGAATCTAGTGGCACAATGCCTCTAAGTTTTCTTTGTAAACCAAGCATAATTCTTCTTCAAGATGTGTTGTCCTCATATACTCCATTCTAGATGTGCACTCCAGAAGCACCATTTCCCTGCCCTTGGTGATACACAGCTTCATATTGCAGACGTGATAAGGGTTTGAGCCTTGTATTCAGAAAAAAAACAAAACACAGATTTTGCTAATCATCCAGTCTGTCTGTGGCATTTATAAAGAAAATTCAGGGACTGCCCAGGGGTTGTCCAGATGGGTTTCAAAGTATGGTAAGGTTTAATACCAGGCAGCTAAGTAGATCCTCCAGGTTTCATTAGAGTCCATTCCACCGGGACTGAGGCATAATCTGCTAAGTATTTGGGTGAAATAGCAGTACCTGAAATATCGTATAAGGCTTTAAGTCTTTCACTTTCCATTTTCCCTTCTGTGGGCTTCCTGATGGGATGCCAGCTTCGGTGGGGCTACTTTGTAGTCACTTGCCACATCCCATTATTACAGTTGCAGCAACGGTGGGATTCAGCTCACATAACTTTGCCTATCTAAAAGGTCAGTGTCCGGTCCACAGTGTTCTGTGGTTAATGGCGATAGTTAGCCTCGGAAGGAGATAAATAGTGACCCTCCTTCCTGTCCTAGACACCTGAGTCCGGATGAGGTGACTCTTCTCTGGAGAAGTCTGCCTCTCTCTCCATTGACTGCAGGGAATACTGAACTGACTAGACTTTAGATAGCTAAAGTCAGGTAAGGTGAATCCCACCCTGAAAGGAATATGTATGGACAATCATTTGAAGAAGGAAAACTGGTTACTTGCTGTACAGTAACTGTGGTTCTTCAAGATGCTTTGTCCACACAGATTCTGTGGTCCTCCTCCTGTGCTAACTCCGAGTCCTGTCATAGGGGATTCTTATCGGTGAAGGAATTGAGTGGTGGTTGAAGCCGCCATACCCCTTATGCCCTCAGGTACAGTGGTCGCAAGGACACACTGGGTGCAGGCACAGCCCCAGTGGACACTGCTATTCAGAAAGAATCCAATCTCCTGCACATGGGGCCTATGTGCACGTAGATGGGAATCTGTGTGGGCAACACATTTCGAAGAAGCACGGTTACTGTAGGGTAAGTAACCCTTCTTTTTTAAAGCTTTCAGAATGATGCTGTGTATATCTGTGCACCATCAAATTTACTGTGTAACCAAAGTTTTTTTAAAAAGGTATAGAGCCAGAAATGATCTGTAGTAGTTTTTTCCATTGTGTATCCAGAGGTAATGGATGTGGCACTAAATAATGTAAAAGTTTGAACTTAAAAAGTCATCATACTGTATGACACAATATTTTAAACTTTATAATGAATTCATATACATTAGGAACCAGAAGATTTTTCAAGCCTTTAAAACCACATCCACAATTACGTTCCCCTGTGGTTTTGCATGCTTGTTTTCATTTGTTTTGTATAAGGTTGCATTTGTTTGCTTGAGTATTCGAGATTTCTTTTTGGCTATCTGCTCTATGGAAGCTGATGCCATCTTAAGTGCATACATCCAAAATATATTGAAATATCGGCACACAAAACCCTTGGC